ACTCATTACAGATAAAAATAAAAACCAATCAGCCACATCACTGTGGGTACAATTTTTTTCCTTCTGATGAGCAAAGCATACATGTTATGGTCTACCATTCACTTGAAGAGCTTAAGTAAATGTTACAGAATCATGTCTTGACAAAACAGATACATTTAGGAAGACATGCTAATAAATACAATAGATTGAAATACACTACATTCAGAGAAGGTAAATTTTTGTCACAGCATTTTAAAATGGAAAAAATACAACCCTGAAATATAAAGGACTTACGTCTCATGGGTGCCAAAAAAGAAAATAGGCATTTTATTCATAGGCGGTTTTACTGCTCCATCAGGAACTTCATCCACCTAGGAAAAACACAGCCTATTATAATTCAAATCAAGTAACAGTCAAGAACAGTTTAGGGGGAAATATGTAAAAATTAAGCATTAAAATGGGAATAAACAAAAGCTACAGAAAAGTAAAGCATGAACTTAGATTTCTTTAACAGCATGTAAAAAAAATATAGCCAAATCAAAACCAGTATTAGCAACAATAGAAAATTACATTACTTTCATTTTATAGAGATACTTTTCACATGACCATTTCTCTTAAAAGAAGAGATCACAATATGTTACAGGTAAAAGGCACAATTCAATTTCATCCACATACTGCCCATCCTTAAGGAAAAGCAAGAGGAAGACTTCCTACCCTTATGCTGACCTGATAACTCGTGGTTATCAGTCCAAATGTGAAGTAGTACCAAAAGGGTAATAAACTTTAAAAGAACTCCAATTCCTTAGTCAGCATAAATACCTTTTTACCTCCATTCCCACATCCAACAAATGACCTACAGCAGTCCCAGAACTTGGCATGCCTTTACCACTGGAGCATGGAGAACACAAAAAAGGACTGGACAAGGTACCACATACACTTAGCCTATTTAACAGAAAAAGGCACAGTAGACATAGCCCACTTAGGAGAAATCTTGCTGTAAATTCGTGTTTTTCTTTTGCCAAGAGCAGTTATTTGGGGACACCATTATTGAACAGCTCCAGGGGCCTGCACATGCTCCATCGTCAGGCTACCATACAGCAGTCTTCATTCTACAAAGCCGCGTTACACAAACTAGGACAACTAATGACTACTTGAGAGGGCTACATTTTACGGTACGGATCTACAATGTGACTGCAAAGCCGCTTCTACCCCTGGGAGCCCAGCCGTGTCCTCCCCTCACAGGAGGCGAAGCTCATTGTGCTGCTGAGCACAGGTGCGTGAGCGCACCCCGCAGAGAACGAGGCAGGGGGAGCCTTACCCTGGCCGGCCAATGGGGGTAACCTTTCATCTTGGCGAAGATCAAGTCTCCGGGTTTGAAATCTCGACTCATGTTTTCTCACCGACGTGACGCCCTGTTGCCGCCAAGAGAGCCGGGCTCAGAGAAGGAAAGGCTCTGTGACTCCAGCAACCACCGAGACACTGCCAGCCACGCAAGGTGCCACTCGCTGCCGGGATAAACACACCGGGGCGAGAGAGAGCAGAGAAAGGCAACACAAGAAAGCACGTCAGTGAGGGCGGGCGGGCCCCGGCCGGGGAGCGCTGCGCCGTGCCCGCCCTTCACCCCTGCAAAGAGACCCCCTGGGCACTCCGCAACGTCAGCGCCCGCCCGCGGGCAGGGCCAGGCCGCCCCGGCCAGGACGGACACCCGCCACCTTGTCCCGACCTCCCCCGTCCCCGACCGGCCGCTCGCCCCGTCACGCACGCGGGCACGACGGCGCGAGAGCGCTACAGGGGGGCAGGAGGGGGGAGGGAGGGGGCGCGCGGAAAAGATACTCCGCCCGCCCTCCTCTCCTCCATCCCTCCCTTTTTCTCTCTCTCTCCCCCTCTTCCCCCTGACCCCTTTTCTCCCTCTCACACGAGCGCTCTCGCTCTCTCTCTCCTCTCTCTCCCCAGCCCGCCCCCCGCTTCACCACCGGCGGTGCAGCTCGCCGCTACCAACCGCGCTGGCGTCCGGCCTGCCGCCCGCCGCGGGAAACACAGCAGCGCCGCCTCCTCCCGCCAGCGGGCCGGTACCACCCGGCACGCCGCACTGGGGCGGCGGGGGAGCCCAGGAGCGACGGCGAGGACTCGGCGAGCGCCCCGCCGTAAGACAGACGGCTCGGCTCCCGCCTCCACGCCTGGAGGAATGCGGACAGCCACGAGAGGAAAGAGCCCGCCGGACCTGAGGCAGGGAAGGAGAAAGGAATGGGAAAAGCCTGCTTCCCTCCTTCTCCCCACAGTCAGAAAAGTGGTTTGTTCCTCCTCCGGTGGGGGCGGAGCGGCCGCGACGAAGCTGGAGGGAGCGGAGGTGGACGAGGAGGAAGAAAAGAGGAGGAGGAGGAGGAGGAGGAGGAGGAGGGGGGGGAGGGGGAGGGGGAGGAGCTGCCGCGGCGGCGCGGCTGTGGGACCGCCCTCGGCCGCGGTGGCGGCGCGAGCCGAGCCGAGGATCGCCACGCACACGAGGGAATGGGCCCTGCTCAGCCACCGGCAGGCTGGCGTGGTTAACGAGCGCCAGTCTCCTTCCCAGAGCGGGCGAGTGCGACTGTCCCCGCGGGGCTCTTTGTGTGTCTCATGCCCCACGAGCTCTGTTAGGAGCCGTTCCCTTGCCGGGCTTTTCATCCCTTCTTGCTGCCGGACCCAAAGCTGCCCGTGTTACCCGAGTACTCCGCAGCCGCTTGCTTGATGTCTTGACTTACCCCAGCATACAACAAATCACGGTTGTTTTATTTTCTTAAGTCTGCAACGGAGTCCTTACTTGCTACTTAGTCGCCATTAACTCCTGGGTTTGGTGGAGATTTTTTTTGTTTTGTTTTGGTGGGGTTTATTTTTTTTTTGTTTATTTGTTTGTTTTGATTGGTTTTGTTTTCTAGCTAGGATTCAGACTATGTTACTCCCCTTGTCCTCTCCATATCTATTCTCTCCTGGTTTGCTTACCAGTCCACATTAAGCTTCCTCCTCACCTAGCGTTTCAAGCCACTATGCCCTCCTCTCATTTATCTCCTTAGTGAGCACATCAGCCACGGCCAGCCTCTCCACAAATACCTTTCTTCAAAGTGAAAATCTCAAAACCAGATATAAACCCACGACCTTCTTTCTTACAGCCTGCTTGTCCTGTTGTGTCTAATTCTAGTTCTGCATCAAAAATTAGCTTGCCTGTCAACTCTCTCTGGGTTTAGTCCTACGTGATGGCCCCACACAGCACCACCTACAAGTCATAGTATGGCACAAAAAATTACTCCTTACACTGTTTCACAGGCGCAGACCTAGCCATTTTGTGCTTAAGTTTTCATCTTTGGTGTGTGGCCTGATGCGCAAGTTTCACAGGTCAATTTTCTACCAGCTCCCCTCTGTGCTACTTGAACATAAAGGTAAGTCCTTGACAGAAGAATTACCTTACCCCTTTCAGTTTTGATACTGAAACTCAAGTCAGGCCCAAAACACCCACTGCAGCTACCACAGAGCAAGCTGTGATTTGTTCTAGGATCTCTCTTCCTAAAATGCAAAATGTTGTTTTATAAACTTTAACTGTAAAATTTCACACCAACTGTGTTAAGCAAGGAAAAAGTGCATTTTTCTGATGGCTTCAACAAGTCAGAACTGTTTGATTTTCTTGGAGGTGGCAAAGCTCATATCCCTGACATCAACTTTCTCATAAAAAATAGAAAATCGTCAATATATTAAGACAGACAAAAACCTTTATTCCTACATAAAAAAGAATGACCACTTGGGGCAAAAGTCCCCATTCCTGGTAGTATTTACCAGACATATAGACGCAGCACTTAGGGACATGGTTTAGTGGTGGCTGTGGCAGTGCTGGGCTAATGGTAGGACTTGAAAATCTTAGATGTCTTTTCCAACCGAAATAATTCTATATATGGTTCTACATAAGATATGTATTTTTCAGTATGGGAGGAAAGAAAGGTGTTTGTTTAACTACATGCATGCAGCAAGAGTATTTTGTCTAAAATAACTTTTGTGAATCAATGTAAAAAACTGTGTGAGGGACATTTTGGGCAGATAAGCTAATATTACTGCTGGTTCAGAATTTTCCAAGTTTTTATACTGCCAAAACCTATCACATCATTCAAATATGATGCTAAGTCTCTGCTCCCTTTCATATTCTCACATAATGTAATTTTTTTTATTAGGTGAGGCCATTTTTCATATTAAGTTTTGACTACTCATCAGACAACAGCAGAGAGGACATCCTCTTCACTCTGTATTTTTGATTAAAAAATCTCAACCATGCTGTTATTAAAAGAACTGCAACATAATGAAATCTATTTTTGTGAACCTGGGCAAAGAACCTATTTCATTTGCCACTAGACATTTAGAATAATTACATAATGGAGAAGTAGAAAAACCAGAAGTCAAGTTAGAGACTAGAAATTAAGTTTTGAGTCTTTATATCAACAGAGGGTGAAAATACTACAGAGCTTTTTTTCTTTTTATTAAAACTTCAATTTGTACCTTGAAGGGTGTACTACTGACATGTTACTGCTATTGCCCACTTTTCTAGGATGTGGTGGGGTGGATTTTTTTCACTCACTCGCTTATGCTCCTGTTGCTTGACATCATATATGTTTACATCTGGGTCTTGAAATTCTCAGTTGAGATGTTTCAAACTTTTCCCTTTGTGCAGTGAGGCGACCAGAAGGGAATGATAACCTTGTCTCTCTCCTCCACCCTGCTGTGATTTTTGTCCCAGGATCTCTCAAAACCATTTACCTGTTTGTTTCTCGTGATAATACGGGAGAAGAATGTGCTGCCCCGAACCTGAGGCCATGCACATCTCAACCTGACTCTCACGTCAGCCCCTCATTTTCACTTCCTACTCGCCCGTTATATTTTCGGAGCCCAGAGCGCCCGGCACGCGTCCGGGACAGGCCGCGCCGGGCTGCGCGCGCCGCCAGCCCGCCCGCGCGTGACGTTCCGCTGCGGCCGGAAGTTGCCGTTGGCGGGACGCGCCGCGCCGGCCGCGTCCCTGCTGGCGGGACCTGGAAACGGCGCAGCGTTTCCCGGCGCTTCCCGGCGGCCGCATTCGCGCTTGCCCCGGCTGCCCGGAGCGGCCTCGGGGTGCTGCTGCTGGAGCTCTGTTCTGACCTTGTTTCCTCAGCCCTTCCTGCCAGGTAAAGCGCCAAAGCCGCCGTTACGGCGTGCGCTCAGCCAGGGCCGCTCCGGGGCCAGCGGTGCGAAGGGATGCTTCTACTCTGGTTTTTAGCTAACTTAAAATTTTTCAGCCTGCGTTAGTGAAAAGCTAGTGGTTCGTTCAGCTGAAACTGGTGAGCTTTTAGAGTTGCAGCGCAGATAGGGTAGTTCCGCCTGGCTTTGTGTGTTTCAGATAAGTACATGTTGGTTCTATTCAGTTTGCTGGAGGGGACCTTAGAGATTCTCCAGTTCCATTCCTTTGCCGTGGGAAGGGGACATGTCCCACTAAACCAGGTTGCTCAGAGCCCCGTCCATCCTGGTCTTGGAACACTTCCAGGGATGAGCGTCCACGGCTTCTCTGAGCAACCTGTTCCAGTGCCTCCACACCCTCACAATAAAAAATTTCTTCCCCACATCCAGCCTAAATCAATGGCCTTCATAAAGCTAGTTAAGCATATTCAGAAGTTCGTGAGGCGAATATGACACAAGTTTTGTGGTAACGTCCATGAAATGTATTTCCTCGTCAAGCAAAAACTTCGTAACTATTTTGTTTGATCGTGGGGCTCTGAGGAGCCACTCCATGCTACTTGAATTTTTTTTGTTTTCCCTGATTGAAATAGCATGCTTTTGGAGTGTATCCATTTGTGTGCTAGTAAACAATGGATGTGTGTCTTAGCAGAGAAATGTTATATATTCAATATCATTAGCACTCCCAGAAAACAGTCATTAGATGTTCCCTGTTTCACTCCCCCACAAAGTAATAAAAAGACTTAAAAATAATTTCAGAAGGTTCCAAAACTTCAAGGTGGTATGGATCTGTCAGAGGAGATTTTGCTTGTGTTTTGAGACAGATTTTTTTCTGCTGCATCTATTTAGTTGCACTATTTTATTTTCGCTTTCTACTGTTCAGATTTTGGTATAAAGCCAAATATATATTTTGGCAATAAATATTAAGGAAAGGGTGGTATAAAAAACTAGTTTGTTAGTGTTCAGAGCTATGTCTGAATGTGAAAATTTGGCACAGTTGATAGAAGTTTAGTTTCCTATACCAGGATACTTCATTTTCTTTTTTATTGAAGTGATTCATCTTCGTTGAGTACAGTACTACAAGTGCTTTGTGAAGATTTTCTTATCTCTTGTAAAGTTAAAGTTTTCAGTGTGCAAGTCACCAATAATTTAATGGAACTTAACATGTGTCTAGAAATTACACTGCAGGCGAGTCTTTGAAGACGAGGTTTTCAACTATTTTCTTCTTTGAGATGGAAAGAAAGCTATGCTGTTTTCTCTACAAGTGTGAGTGACTGTTGCATGGCAGTTACTGTGTTTTGAGTCTTACGAACAGATCCACCAAAGTGAATTCTGATGGGTATGTGTTAAAAATCACAAAGGATACATGTAGCTATTCTATATGAATATACTGCTTTTCTGTAAAAACAAAACAAACAAAGAAAAAAATTCAAACCAAAAACTTAGAGTTGTTAGAAGGAAGTTTATTTTTGCTGTGTTTTCTGTTAAAATTATAGATTGAAGCAGAAATGCATTTTTTTCTTCTCCATATTTCTAGTGCAGCAACTGGAATGAATAAAATCAGTTTATATTAATGTATTACACCAACTGCTGCCATTGGACACCACAATATAAAATATAAAGTATTGGAGAGCATTGAAAGGAGAGCCTTCAAGGCTGGTTAAAACATTATGAGGGATGGCTGAGGTCACTTGTTCTGTTCAGCCTACAGGATGTTGAGGGGAGATCTCATCGCAGTTACAACTTCCTCACGAGGGGAAGGGAAGGGACAGGCACTGCTCCTTAATCTCTGGTGACCAGTGACAGGACGGAGGGAATGGCCTGAAACTGAGTCAGGGTGGGTTTAGGTTCGGTATTCAGAGAAGGTACTTCACCCTTAGGTGAAGGTGGTTAGACCCTGGAACAGACTCCCAGGGAAGTGGTCACAGCGCCAGCGTGACAGAGTTCAAGAAGCATTGGGACAATGCTGTCAGGCACATGGTGTGACTTTTGGGGTGTCCTGTGCAGGGCCAGGAGTTGGGACTTGGTAGTTCTAATGGATGCCTTTCAACTCAGCTTATTCTATGATTCTGTGGACATGTGACTGCAAACCAGGGATGGTAAAAATGGAATCCAGGCAAGTTGCCTGGTTTGGACTTTAATATGGATGTCCATCTGCTGTCATGTTCAAAACCAAACCTTTTTGGCTCATTAATATTGACTGTTGAATACAGTTTATATTTCATGCTACCTTGCTTTAATTAATGAAAAGAGGTCTTGAATGAGTTTTTTGTGCAACTTGACGTAAACAATGGATTTTTTAAGATGTACATTTTAAATATGTTGTCTATATTGATTTCTTTTTTATTGTGACAGACACTAAATTAATGATTTTTTTCTGAAGATGAGTGGAGTTACAGTTCAATTTAGAATTCCTTCTTATTGCTGATTTATCTAATACAATAAAAATATGTTCAAATAGAAAATTCCAGGTTTGTAAAACACTTGGAAGACTTGCTGTGTTAAAGCCTGTTGTCAGACAGCAAACTAGTACGTCGAATCATGGTATACGCATTTATCTTCAAAAAATTATTTTGAAGAGAAATGGAGTTTCTTATTGAATATGATAATATATGATAATATTCTTGTGAGGTAGAGGATCAGTGTGTAGGAACAAAATTTCTTACTGATATTCTGAAAACCTTGATCGGGGATATTCTGCTATGTGGTTATATATGTATATATTGGTCTACAGTCAAGGATTAGAAGTACAATTCTCACAGATGTCTAAAACTAAAATTATAATTGGTAGTTGTTCACATGACATAGTAACACTGTTTTCTAGCTGCTTGTGAGTATTAACAAATGATTCTTTCATTATGTTGGCAAATAAATTAAAGCCTGTCTCTGTTACAGATTGTAATGTTTTTATGATATGGAAGAATTATCTTGGAAGCTTGTCAGGTAAAGGTATATACAATCAACGATTCATTCTCCAGAGTTTATAGTTTATGCAGCCTGAAAAGCTGTCTATTGGCCGTCATGAGTTCATCCTCTTCAGTCAACTACTCTGTCACAGAAGCTAAAAGGTGAGCTTAATTTCTGTATTTTTTAGTCTAGTAATATAGTTCCGGTTTTTGTGGTTTATTTGCTAGATCCCTGAAATTATGTAATTCAGACTGAAAAAGAACCAGCTACGGTGATATATGCAAGCTATGCCATGCCAATACAGTTATTAGATCTTAGAATTATGGAATGGCCAAGATTGGAACCATCCTCAAAGATCCTTGAATTCCAGCCCTCTGCTCTGTACAGGGACACCTTTCACTAGATGAGATTGCACAGAGCCCCATTCACCTTGGCCTTGAGCCAGCTGCCAGGAATGTAGTGTCCATAGCTTCTCTGGGCAACCGGTTCCAATGCCTCAACACTCACAGTAAAGGGTTTTTCTAATATCTAATCTAAACCTTCTCTCCTTCTGTTTAAAGCCATTCTTTATTTTTTGTCACTACATGCTGTTGTAAGAGTCTTGTAGACTCCCTTCCACTGCTGGAAGGCCACAGTTGGGTCACCCTGAAGCTTTTCTTCTCCAGGGTAAACAAACCCAATTTCCTCAGCCTTTCACCAGTTCACCTCAGGAAAGGTGCTCTGTCCCTCTCATCAACTTCTTGGGCCTCCTCTGGACATGCCTCAGGAGGTCCATGTCCTTCCTGTGCTGGATGCATCACAGCAGAGCAGAGCAGAGGGGCAGAATCCCCTCCCTGGCCCTGCTGCCCATGCTGCTTTGGATGCAGCCCAGGACACATTTGACTTCCTGGGCTGTGAGTGCCCATGGCTGGGTCATGTCCAGCGTCTCACCCACCAGCACCCCCAAGTCCTGCTCCCAAGAGCTGCTGTGATCTGTTCATCCCCAGCCTGTGTTGGTGCTGGGGCTTTCCCCACCCAGGTGCAGCACCTTGCACTCAATCTTGGTAAGCCACCTGAGATTCCCATGGGCCCACTTGAGCTTGTCCAGGTCCCCCTGGATGGCATCTCATCCTTCAAGTGTGTCAGCTGCATCACTCAGCTTGGTGTCATCTGCAGACTTGTTCAGAGAGCAGTCAATTCCTGTGTCGTTAATGAAGACACTGAATAACAATGGTCCCAATATGGATCCTGAGGAACACCACTTGTCATTGATGTTCTTTTGGGACTCTGAGCCATTAATCACTACCCTCTGGATGCTACTGTCCAACTGTTCTCATATCCGCCAGCAGCAGGTCCACTCATCAAATCCATTTCTCCAATTTAGAGAGAAGGATGTTATGGAGGACTGTGTCAAAAGGCTTCGTAGAAGCCGAGATAAATGCCATCTGTAGACCTTCCTTTGTCCACGGATGTAGTCATGTTACTGGATGATAAATTGTCTACACCTCGTGAGCTAACACAGTGGTTGTTCTCCTACAACCATTGGCATGTGGAAGTGAACAATGCCCATTGTGTAAGAAGAAGTGGGAGTTCAGCCCCAGTGCCCTGCCAGCTTGACTATGTCAGCTGTAGCATTCCCTGACCACTATGGACTACCAGAGAGACCCCCAGGACAGAAGAATACATGCTTAAAGGAGGGGGAAAATACTTGAATGATAATGGATAAATTATTATCATGTGTATTTTTATTCTGGGACAATCAATGAATATGTATGTAAAATGCAGTGTATAATCAGAAGCTTTCCTATAATCAGCATGCAAGAGTGTAGGAGGAGCTACCACCTTGTGCATCTGGCCAAATAAAGAGTGCTTGCTTCTTAATGTTACATTGCTTTTAAGGAGTTTGTTATTTTATTGAATTTTTGGCAGCAATCACTCCATCATTGCAGGTGTGCATACTGACCATCTGATGTGCAAGAATTCTCACATGGGCATAGGAGACATATGACAGAGGTAGTTTTTGTCTCCATTTGGGAACAATGTTGTGGACTTCCAGAAGGGTTTTCTACAATAGCTGTGGGGGTAGAGGTTGGTTATAAGTGTATTAGACAGAAGGAGAAAATGAATTCCCCAGTGGCTCCAACCTGGGGGTCCAAGGTTAGATTTTTGGGGACGCCAAGGCTGACTAGCTCTCTGAGACGCATTTTCATAAACCAAGTTTTGTTCCTGCCTAAAGAGGGAGAATTCAAAGAAGGTTGAACTGGGAGGAAATTACCTTACCACTTACGTCTTCAATTGGGTATTTTTGTTGGGCATGCTAATTTGCTAAACATAAAAGTTGTATATGTGTTATGCTACATGTTCATCTTCCACCTGTTTTAAACCTGGTGAATTGTGCACCTAAGGATCCTTAGAAAGGTAACCCCTTTTTATCATCTGACTGTGTCTGGCTCATGATTTTGGGATGAGTGAAAAGGTATCACTCTCACTGTTCGGATTCTTCTTACATCCTTCCTGATTTACCACCATATTTTCTTAATTGCATTAGCTAAGAGTTGCTTAAAATAATTATATGGGGTTTTACTTACCTGGTTACTGATTGTTTGCCCTTTGAGATGTGTTAGTTCCTCTGGGTATGTAAATACTGAAAGCTAATAATGTGCCAGTGGTTTTCTTGCAGTACATGTGCATTTTAATGATCCTTATCTCCTACATATATTAAAAATATAAAATGTGTTAAGTATGGCACCCTGTGGACCAAGTACTGATGACATACAATTATTCTGATCACACAGATGAAGTCCATCTTGTTTTTAAATGAAGATTTGACAGAATTTATTAAATTATAAAATGTTTATAGGCTGCAGCTAAAAACCTGAAATTTCATCATTTGTTGTTATTAGTATCATTAAAGGCTACATTTAATCTAGAACATTGTTCCACTTGTTGATGACATTTGTGTTAGTCAGCTTATGGGAGAAGATATATATCATCAGGTAAAGGTTTTAGTTGTGAAAAATGTTAATGGTGCCTGTGCATAGATCTAGGAGTAAAGTGATAATTTTTTTTATTTAGAAAAACCCAGTAATACTGGAATTTATTAAACTGTCTGTAATTAATACTTAAGACTTCCTGTAGACCAAGGTAAGCTATTTTAGTATTTTCAGCTCTGTATGAAATGATGCCAACTTTGTTTAGTTTAATCATGTTTCTTTTTACAGTTTAATTCATATTTAGGGGCCCTGATGGCTTTCACTTTTGTGTGGAGCAACTGATTAATAGAGCCATTGTTACATAGCTTTAATAATTTGAAAAATGACGTATATCAAATAATGTGAAGACTGAGTTTCAGCTCCTGAAATACTTTGAGTTGTCCACTTCGAAGTTATAATAATTGATTGCTAGATTATTAAGCTGGTAAATTAAATATGTATTTTTATACTAATTTTTCACTCTCTACATAAAAGCTTGTTTTGATTATTTTGCTATTGCCTGTGATGCTCAGAGGTATATCCTGTTACCTGCCAAGTAGATTTTCTTTTGGTTGAAAAAGTAGTGGAAATAACATAACAGATTATTTTAAAGGGCTACACCTTTAGTTTGTATTTTTTTTTGTGAATAATTGTTTATCTGTATCTTAGATATATTTTTAAAAACAAAATATGGAAGAGAGATTTTTTCCACATTTATACATTTGTTTTATGACAGTTATGTTTTTGAGACAGTAATCCATGTTAAAAAATGAGCCTTACTGAAGAGACAGACAGAAACTTGCTAGTCATTTTAATATATATTATCGAAATGATGTTTTTAACCATCCTGGAAGTTTATTGGATCAATTATAAAAACAATGAAAAACATGCTTAAATCGACTTAGGGAAATTAAAAGTGCATATCTAATATAAGTTCCTGCTTCTACGTCTCTCACAGTTTGCATAATAAGCAACAGTAGGCATGGCTTTTACTTAAGTGAATGTATAGAGCTTTGGACCGACAATCTGATAATTGAAATAAGGGAACATTAAAACTTACAAGAAATGCTTAGGTTTTCTTTAAAACAATACTCTTTTGCAGATTACATAATGAGGAATTTGAGTTACTACAGAAGAGCAGTAAATCGGAGTTGGATGCTGTTTTGGGTCTGAAATGGAAACTTCTTCAAGCTAAAGAAGAAAATTTGGACTTAACTATTCAACACAATCAAGAAGTAAGGACTTCTTTTTCATTTGCCTTATTTTACTCCTGGAATAAATGTAATCTTTCTTTCATTGAAGAAATGTTTGCAAATGATGGATCAAAAGCACAGTCCGTAACTGGAAAATATGAGGAAAGGTGTCACTGTACAGACCTCTCATACCTGTTCATAGATACTGTTAGCACTTCTGTTGTCACTGTTAATAGTTAAAGGTGTGGTAGGTGACTCAACACCAAAAGGCAGAAGAATCTTGTGCACCCCAAGCTCAATGTAAGAGATTGTTTGTTTGTTTGTTTGTTTTAATCCAGATAGTTCCATAGATCCATTTTTTGCAATGACTACAGTTGATAAACCAATGGGAAAATAACAATGTAACTGAAGTGCAAGAACAAGTCAGTGTGGGAGAAGCAGGCATCTCTTAATTTGGATACCTACCCAGATAATAAATGTACGTGGAACAACAAACTTGTTTTATTGGCTGTATTTAACCAAAACCAGATGAATGAGCACCCACATCAGCTTCTCATGGGAGATTGCTTAGAGCAGAATTGCTACCTATAGAAGTAATAATACTTCTTCAGCAGTTTAGTTTAAACCAGATTATCAACTGCCGGATTGGCATTAGCAAATGTGGGAAGTGTGCCTAGCAGCAATATACTGAAATTGATTATATCTCAGCACCCATCTTTTCCTGTATTTTTTAGTGGGGGAACTGATATTTGGACTAAATATATTAAGTATATTCTTAATGCTACTTCATTTCAATACTAGTTTGCTGCAACAACATCAAGGAAATCCTTTGTAATGTGGGTGATTTCCCATGTATGAAGTTCTCATTAACAAGAATATTACTACTTTGTAGTTGTTCTGAAGGAATGTGTATTTTACTTTCCATCTTCTTGTGTAGAAATATCTTGAACTTGGTTTTCTGAATCTAGTTTTTGGCAGCAAAGATTGTTTCTCAACCTGTATAATATCCCTTTTGGAAGTGTTTTCTATTCTTAGTTTGCTGTGTGTTAACATTAAAGGCATCTGACTACTGAGCTCTATTGGACTGAATTTTATGCTTGTATGTATATTTGTGAGTTACTAGATATCTGATATCTAGCATCCCAATATAACTGTTCTGAATGTTACCAGAAAGTTGTCTGGAATAAAATGTTTCTCTTATGGCATTTTTTTCCTCTGAGGTACAGGAAGATACCAGTAATATATGGCAAATTTTTTAAGGTAGTATATTTTTGAAAAATTGAGGGATATGTTTAAGGTACATGAAATTCATCTAGGAAAACGATCAGTTCACAAAAACCAGTGAATTATCAAAATGTGCATAAACATGCAGTTGCAAGATTGTATTTCAAATTCGACTGGAATAAGATGGCAGTTGCGATTCCAAGTACTTTTAAAAGTATTCTGTAGGTGTATTTCTCTAACATGTTGAACTTCTTCAAGGGAACATTGTTAGCAGTTTTGTGAAATTTATTTTCTAGGTGTCCAACTATGAAAAACAGATAATCAAATTAAGGTCAGAATTTGAGAGAGGAGAGGCCATTCGACAAGGTCTGGAGTATGAATTGGCAGTTGCCAGAAAAGATGCCCATCTGAAAATGTGTACTGCAGAAGAAGAATTAAGCGATGCAAAAAACAAACTTGTGGAACTGCAAGGTAGGTTTCAAAGAAGTAAAGATAGAATAAAAGCTAATTTCTGTTTCATGTCATTAAGGTAAGTTGGAAGCAGAGACTTAATTACATTTTCTATTTTATTGCTGTTTTTCTTGAATCTGTCTTATCTTCCCATCTCTTACCCATCTGCTTTTGAAAACTCGTAAGAGTTCACAAAATTCTTACTGTCTCATGTGGATTAGAACTAACTGGCTAACCCTTCCAACCCTTCTTTCCTCTTTCCCATCACCTTCTGTTATTTCTTCCTTCAGTGCTGCCTGTGTGTGGAACTGTAATCATGGTGGCCATCTTCACATCCAGGTTATCCCTGTGTCCAGTAGTTCTTCCTGTTCCATTTCAGAAGGAAAAAAAAAAAAAAAAAGGAAGAAAAAAGAACAGAAAAAATTAACTCCTGCTTATTTGTTTGCACCATTTCCAGCAGCTTTTTTTCTGGAAGTTCACATCATACGGGTATTTCCTTTCATATTTTCAAATGTTTCAAGCTTTTTATTGTTCATGTCTGGTTTATTTTCTTCTCATTGTTTTTGTTTCTTTTTTTTATAGTAATGTGTGTTGTGACAATAGTATATGGAAGAGAAGGTTTTTACCTAGGCTTTTTATTTCCTGCTACTTTTGTATTCAGAAACTCAGATTTCCTTTATACTCCTCAAAGATAGGGATTTCTCGTTGTTATAGGGAAATGAGGTGCATTTTTAGTTACCTAAACTACTATATTTAATCTAGTACAGGAGATGCATCTGTGAGTTTGATGAGCTGTTGATATTCAGTGAAGAGTTTGAAGTAGTCCTTGAAAATTTTAACCTTCCAATAACTGAAACAGAGTCTGGATCTTGCAAGTACTTAAAGTAACAAGTAATTTTAAGGTGTTTGGAAAGCTGAACTTTCACTCCTTTGGAGAACACATGAATCATCAAAAATCTTAGGGATTGCAAACACATAAAAAATAATTAATTTTACAGATTGTAATCTGGAAGAAGGCATTTTTTCCCACTTTGGAAATTTATCTGTGATTACAAATGGAAGATTTGAATTGGTAGTTTCTCATCTAGAGCACAGTCATGTTTCTTTCCATGTGTGCTGGTTTCCTTGCCAGTATAAGAGTCATGCCATGCAGGTACTGAGAGGCAGGACTCAAGAGGGACTGATGCTGATGGAACCACAGCACAGTGAACCTAGTCTGCTGGGCTGCCTGTCACTTTCCTGAATGGATTGGGCTGTGAGGCTGTGGTGAGGGGACTGGAGAACAAAAAGGGGATAGGAGAGGCTTTACAGAAGCAGGGGATGTCTTCTTAAATGCACCTGTGTGTTAGTTTCTTTCAATACCATAGTCAATAATTTGCAGTCTGTCAATTTGCAACAAACTCCATTGGCTAAAATTTCTCAAATTTTTTAAGTCTGTGACAAGTGCCAAAGAAACCATATTAAAATTTTGCTGTTTAATTTTTTAGCAATTATTAATTTTCTGCTTATTTTGCTGTGCCAGTTGGAGCCTTTCTCACTTCACATGGTGCTTTGGTATGACCCCAGCATATCTCCTCAGACAGAATGCTTCATTAGTGCCTTCAGTGTTTGCTCCAGATTTTTTTCTGCTATTCTTTTTCAGGGTTGATTTTCTGCCATCTGGCAGTCCTTTCCTGTCATTGTGTCCACTGATTCTCTGTGCCATCTTAATGTTCTCTCTTCATTTAATTATTTTCTGACTAGGAAGAAATATCAGAAAACTGGGATGGATTTGAAATAAAATCCTGTTGCAAAGTGGTGATGACTTAAGTGCCAATGCAGCTAGTTGTATTCAGTAAAATGAAAAGCTGTTGTAAAATATTTTCTGCAGTAAAGGTTAGGAAGGTTATGCTTACAGGTTATGAAGGTTTCTGTGGCATTTAAGCTTTCACAGAACTGTGTATACAATGTTGCCCATCTCAGGTCATTTATGGGCCCAAGATTTAAAAATCTTGAGGAGCAGTTAATCCAACCTGCCTTAGGTTTATCTACAGTCTCTTTCATGGAACAGGTGCCTATCTTAACTGTCATTTAAGCTCAAATTTATTTGATACAGACTAATACCTTTATCAAAAATGAAATATTATTTCAGATTATTTGCCAGATTATTTGAAAGTAATCTGGCAAAATGTAGAAATCTGAAATTAAGTTCTCCATTCTATAAAGATGTAATTTCACAGAATCACAGAATATGCTGATTCAGAAGGGACCTACAAAGAATTATCTCAGGTTTTTATCCATTTCCAAGAGAAAAAAAAAGTGTTTTAATTTTTAAAATCTCTCAAATATTCCTATGTTCTTGTGGGAAAGATGTGATAGGAACACAAAATTTGCTGGTTTCTTCTTAGTGAAGTTGGTGCTCTCCAGTGCTGGAGAGTTAATGTTGCAATGTTCCACAGGGTATCAAAATACACAGAAGAACTGATGATCATTATGTGTTTGGGGTTTTTTTCTGGATATGTTTTGCCATTATGCTTCTACCTTTTTTCTTTCTCTTTTTCTGTAAAAAATAGTACTCAATGAAAACCTTCAGCAGAAAGTGACAGAGACTGAGAAAACATTTCATAATGCTCAACAGAAGTGGGAAGAAGAACAGCAAAGACTTGCTAAGGTGAAGGATGATAATCAGCAGAATTTATAACAATGAATATATATTCCTTCTTAAAGAAAGAAACGAAGTAGAAACTATTTTACTGGAATGGTGTATTAATAGTTGGAAAGTTACATGAGATAATGGCTGGCACTTTTTTGGTGTGAAGTGTGTAGTGGATTGAGGTCTTTCTGATGTAGGAAAAAATCCTCCAAGTAGCTAAACGCTGCAGAGTATTTCTGAAGAACATATCCTTATTAAGTTACACTTGGCATGTCACAGTCTTTCTTGCTTTGATGAAATGTGTTATGGCTGATTTTGATGGTAAATGCCTAAACCAAGTTAACAGTGCACAGTCTGTTTGCACTGTCGTGTGATACTGAGTCAGTAAAATCAGGGCACCTAATACTCACTGATTCAATTTCCCTGTTAGGTCCCCCAGTATGACATCAAATAGCCTGTGAATTTGAAAACAGTTTGTATAATACGGAGACCACATACTTTCAGGGTATTTCAAGCTGTGCATTGTATTGTTACTCACTTCATACCGCATAAGAAAAGTAAGCATTGCTGGAAATTCTGCTGTTTGGTTAGATAAAAATCACCTAATACTAAGAGATGGCATTATAATCTGTTCTAGAGTGTGGGGCTTTTGTTATTTAGTAATTAATTTCATCGTATTTCCTGATTTATACTGATATTTGTATATCCTTTGGGTGTTAAATGTGTAAAAAGTAATAAAAGTACAAACTTGTTTTTACGCCTTTTTTAGACAGTCAAGCTATTCTAAACTGAAATATGTTTAGAAGAAATCATGTACTGTTAGGGTGGAAGTGCTGAGTGAACATACCTAGAACATACCTAACTTTTGCCTGCTCCACAGGGACACATGGAATTACACCACTGTACTTCAATTATACTTTTGTCTTTTTAAATGACAAGTTGCATATGTTGTATCTTACCTATGTAAGAATACTATTTGATGAAAAAACAGAATGTGTTCAGCTGTAGTTATTCTTCATAAAAAGAAGTGTATGCAGTGGCTCTGTTAAGGCTGATAGACATTTGAATTGCATGATGTATGCAGAGAACAGATTGCTGCTAAAAGATTAACTTTTTAATATATTTCCTTCCTTTGTAGTGCCTTCTAAGATGTGACAGACTTGTCTCAGTTGGGATGGGCATTGGTCAAGCAGTAGAAAATTTTCTGGTTACTTTCTTCCAAGCTGGTCAGCTCCAAGCCTGGGACAGTATCAGTCTTCCCAAATGACACTAAATTTACTTGGCAGCTTGATAGCCAAATTCTGACAGCAAACCTACCTGTTGTACTATCTTATGGTGCTGTTGCTCGAATTCTATATGCCACCTGTAGAAGCAGCTCGCAAAAAAAACCGGGGCAGAGACACTCCCTGAATTACATGTATTTCAGAAGTACTGTGTACTGACTCTTCAGCTGTTTGAAGGCAAGATCTGGAAGGAGTCGTGCAGTATTGACACCTGTAGTAGAAATCTGGTTGTGTGTGGATGAATAATGTTTCTGTGCATGGACTGCAAAAGGGGTTGCATTGTGCTGTTTATCTTAATGATGAAGAGACCTGATGATGGAAAAGGATCCCATTGATTTGATTTTCTCTGAATGAAGGATAAAAAGGAAATTCCCTCATCCCCTCAATAATTGTGTTGATATGTTGAACACTATTGTGAGAGACTAATTGGGAGAACTGTAAGGGTATAGTTAAAAAAAAAAAAAACAAACAAGAGAAAGAGAAGGTTTCAGAGGAGAATATGTGAATTCATAGACAGGTGATACCCTAAGGTTCTTCTCAAACCAAAAAAAACAGAAACATGAGTCAGTTTTCATTGAAAGTCAATGCTTGAAAAACTAAGATTAGGTTTAGGCTATTAGGAAACTTACTCTTAGACACAGTTTTCTTGTTAAGTTGCCAGGTAAAGCAGGCTAAGAGTGGTACTGTGGCTTTGTGTTCTGGCTAACAGTAGACTCACTTAAGTTGAGGAGGGTTTGGAATGGACTTTTCATCTCTTGTATATAGAGTTTAGAAGTGTTTATTCAGTGCATTTAATACTGTATGAAAATAATGATATTTTAAGTAGTATACTATACTCTTAGAAATGATGTTTTTCCTCAGATTAAAAGGAACCATGGGTTGGTTACTCAGGTCAGTGTATTCTCTGTCAGTGTATGTTGGTTTGGAAGTAGACGGTGATTTGTAGAATCAGGGGTTTGGTTGGAAGGGTGTACTAAAGCTATATAATTGTCCTCTCCTAAAGTAGGTGATTCATTATTAGATGTCAACTATCAGTGTGCTTTGAATAGCAAAATTTTTGAATTTAGTTCACTTGCAAATAGTTCCATTTTTCTGCTTTGTTTTTGTAGTGTTCTCTTGCCCATGACCCTAGTTATGGTTACATATAGTTGTAAAATTCTGGGAAATAAAAAATACATACATAAATGTTAAATCTGGACTTGACTATCTTAGTTGTTGTTTGAAAGCTTAACTGATTTAACTTGGCAGATAAATATCAGATGGGTTTAGGTTTGTAAACTAGAGCTTCAAATGTGTCTGAGTCTTTAGTGTTTGTATTTACAGTTCTGTTTTAATTATTTTGTGTTATGAGATGAAAGCTACATAAAGTGGTCTTAATATGTACGTAGAAGCAAGATTCTAAGCATGGATGGCAAATCCTTGTTCTAAACCTGCACTTTGTGAACTATAAGTCTGAAATTAGCTATAAAAATGCTGAGGCAGGCATAGAAATTAAGTCAGTTTAATCTATTAAAATGTGTCTCTATGATATGGAGTTAAAGTAATCCTCTCTGTTTTCTAACAGAGAAAGTTTTGTGTTCTGCTGTATTGAGTGTGCTTAGCATTGTGTTTGGTACATAGTAAAAGATGTTGGAGTTCAATAGTAAGTGCAATAGCATCATCTTGTGGTGAGTCGGAATATAGTATTCCTTCACAGAAACACTCATTTTTTCCTTGGACTGTTTGTGAAATTGTGTTGTTTATGCAGACTCTAAACCAACAAACCAGCCATGTTTTTGGTAAGCAAATATGTATAGTGAGCATTTGTATGACGTGCAGATACACACATATATATGAAGGTGTTTCTTTTTTAGCATGGTGAAGTATGTTTCTTTATGAAACTTCCAAGTGCAGGTAGCTGCTGGAACAGTCTGACACAGTTATAATATGTCTGAAAAGTTCAGAGATTTCAAGATTCTGAAGTCATGTTGACTTGTTTAACAAGATTGATGTATTATTCATGTCAGTTTCTTGAAGTCTTGATGTAGTATTTTTCCAGGAAGCTATGTATTACTTATTTCATATGCACTTTTCACAGCTCACTTCTCTTAATATGTTGAAGATAAATCTGAACAGAAATATTTTTATATCTTTCTAATATAGAGAAGATGAGAGTAGTTGTAAATTTGAGTAAAAGTAATCTTTTTTGCATGCTGATGAGAAGAAACCTCTCCATTGTCTTGATATTACAGGCAAACTTAGAAGATTACCTTAAATTTAATCCATACCCGGGTAGACTGTTTTTGAAATATTTTGATTTACTGAGGTTCCTGTTTTTTAATTCACTTGTTTCACAGGCATACTCCTTTTTATCTTTTCAGAGAATGCCAAAAAATCATGCCTAATGCCTCCACATGAAAAAAGAGAAAATTAATTAATTTTTTCAGTTACTAGTTGATGATAATGGAGTGGCACTAGGCGTTAATAAGGGAGTCATGAATGCCTTAGTGTTGTGTTTAAGAGGCCAAAACGTTCTACCTTCAGTCATTATAAAACTTCTAAAATTTTTTGTAAACTTTGGAAAAGACTCATATTTCTTTGATCTTCTTGTATAGACATGGTTCTGTCAAATTTCAATCTTCCAAAGAATCATTCTTTATGAATAATTAATTTTCTTTTCCATCTTCTCCCTGCTCTGCAGATGCCTTATGATTAGTAATTTTCAGGAACAAGATTATGTGATGTTAGAGTAATAGCAGAATTTGTAGACCAACTGGTTTATTTTCACAAAATGTCTCTAGCCATGATAAACGATAGGAATAAATGAACAGGAGGACTTAAGGTAATCTTTCTGTGTTTTGTGCGGAAAGTAATTGGCTTTCAAAAGGTCTTCCAGCTAAGTCACTGGATTTGTAACTTGTTTCTGATGCTAGTTATGGAAAAGCTTACTTCTGTCCACTAGACCAAAGCTATTCTTCTTTAAGGCTTCTGGAATCCCCAGCTTAAATATGTGCTAGGCGACTGGGGGCTCATTATTTGGCTACTTTCTTCCGTGTCTGGTGTGGCATGAATGAGGATTTTGTAGTAGGGACTCCACAGAGCTGCTGAGTCCAATGGTGTTAGTAATTGCACCAACCTGTATCTTGGTTCAACTTCCAAAAGCAGAAATTGTGGGAGGGAATAGCTTAGTTATTTTATCTTTCCAATAAATTCATAGTTCATGTAACTAATTTTATAATTCTGTTTCTAAGAAAAGTCCTCAGAATAGTAGAAATTAAGAATATTTATTCTGTGGGAGTAACTTTCAACAAATGTCTGATTATTTGATTTGAATTTCTAACAGTTAGAATAATAGCAAAGCAAAACATCTGTCATTTCATCAAATGCATGTAACTGTTTCCCTCTCCACCATTGCCACTGAGCTGCGAGAGAGAACAGATTGGAGGAGCAGCCTTGTACTTCTTTAGAGAAAAATTTCCTGTGGAGAATTGGCTCTGATTTTAGTATTACTGCAGAAGGTCATGTTTGTAGTGAGTTGTGTGCTAACATATGTTGTCTGGTGGTGAATGAAGAACGTCTGTTGTTGGGTAAATGCTTGGCGTGTGCCAATGCGTTGGATTTTATTAATCTGTTCTGATGCAGTTTTTCCTGTTTTGATCCTTTTACTTTATCTTAGCAAAAGTAACTCTTAATGCCTTATTTCTTTTCTAGGAGCAGAATAATGAACTGCTAAATATACGCAAGAAATTGAGAGATGTGGAGGTGGAACACAGTGGCTGTAATGAGGCGCTGAGATGCCAGGCCAATGAACTTAAATGCAGCACTGAACGAGAAAAGAGACTTTTAAAGGAACTTGAAGTAAGGCTTTTTGACTGTTGCTATTAATCTCAACAAGCACTGATACAGAGCAATTTCATTTTTGAGGGATGGAACCTTCTAGTTAGGCTGGAATTCTGTGTACTTGATGAACAAAATATTGAACATCTGTTTTGCAGAAATGGCTGAACAGGTGAATGCCACTTTTATTGTGAGCTTGGCTTGAGACGTGTGTTTAAACAGCAGATAGGAAAAGGTTTATATAAGTGTGAAAAGAAGACTAACTGTCCTTCAGGAAATCTAAAGTCTTAATTTTTCTATCTTCTTATGAATTTTGGTTTAATAGATTTCTGGTGGAAAATCTGCTGGAGCTGCAAAAATTGCCAGATGATGTGCTAGGTGAGGGAGTAGAATACTGAAAGATCACGGTGGCCTTACAGCAACCTCCTCCTAGAGTTGGCTGCTAGAGTTAGTTACTGCAGGTTTAGTTTTTCTCTCTGTTGAGTGACACCCATGGTTGAGAAGTCTCTAGTTTTGAGAATAATGTCTTGTAAATAAGCTCTTTACACTAACCAGCTAGTTTCCTCCTAAGTTTCAATATTTTATTTGTCAACTGATAGATTTTGTAGTAGATCTATTATATGTGCGTACAATCTGGACCAAGACTTTCTTGGTAGAACACTTGTCATTGCAGAAAATCATATTGAGTAAACAATTCTTGATGAATGTTTTCTACCAAAGGCATCTTTAAATATTTTCTGCAATGAATTTAAATTCATATTCACTTCTTAAATATTGAAACCTTAAAGGAACAAGTGACAACGTTTTCAGCTGTGGTTTTTTTTCTGTTGTTCTTCTCTTAAAGGTAAAATAAATGTTTTAAGTGTTGATTTTTAGGTAGGTGGAGTCCTGCATTAAAAATTAAGCACAAAACAAAATTCCTACAGGGAAGATCAAAGCTCATCAACTAAGAACACTGACTTATTGACCAACAAGGTAGACCTTTGTGCCTTCAAAGAATTCAACAGGAAATCTATTGTCGTGTATTTTGAGCTGCACTTATTGGCCTAAGTGGAATTGCCTTCAGCTGGAATGTATTGCATACTGTGAAGTTCCAATAGCCCTTTTAAAGAGCACCGAGTTTTGCTTCCCTGTACTTGGGTAAGGACTCTTCTTATGACCTCATGGCTTTCTGTATACTAACAGAGAAGTCATGAGCTTAAAGGAGGAGGAAAAAGGCAGCAAATAATTTATCTTTTTAAATACTTTGATTGAATGTACCCACCAGCTGTAAATTTGAAAAGAAAGGATGCAGTTCCTTGAAAATGTACAATTGCTATACTCTAATGATGGTCTTATTAGGGAAATGTTACCTACTAACCATAATCAGAAATTTTTTTTTTTTTTTGCTTCTAAATTTTTGTTAAACTATTTTAATTTTCTGAATATCTTAATAATGTAAGAAGATATATTCAGTCTGCAGAAAAATGAGTCTTGTGTTACTTATTGATAAGGATAGCTATTTAAGCAGTGATTAAGGAAACGTATGTGATAAAACCTCTTGCATTTAAAAGTTCAAGAAAATTAGCACAAAAAAACCAAACTAGGTTAGACTTCAATACATATCCTGTTGGCAGCTTGCATCTCACTTTACCATCTTAGAAGTAAATTGCATATGTGTAATTATCTGAAATGGCCTACAGTAACCTTGTAGATGGTGATTATACCACTTCCCTGGGCAGCGTCCTCCTATGCTTTGCAACCCTTGCCTTGAGGAATTTTTTCCTCATATCCAATCTAAACTTCCACTGGTACAAGCTGAGGCCGTTTCTTCTCATTGTGTCACTTGTTACCTGTGAAAAGAGACTGACTCCCACCTGGCTACAGCCTTCTTTCAGGCAGTTGTAGAGAGTGTTAAGGTCACCCCTGAGCCTCCTTTTCTTCAGGCTAAACACTCCCAGCTCTCTCAATCACTCCTCACAGGACTTGTGCTCCAGACCCTTCACCAGTTTTGTTGCCTTGCTTTGCACATGCTCCAGCACCTCAATGTCCTTCCTGAACTGAGAGCCCCAGAACTGAACACAGGATTGGAAGTGTGGCCTCACCAGTGCCGGATTCAGGCGAGTGATCCCTGCCCTGCTCCTGCTGGCCACACTGTTGCTGATACAGGCCAGGATGACACTGGCCTTCTCGGCCACCTGGGCACTGCTGGCTCATGTTCAGCTGCTGTCAGTCACTTTCCTGACGTCCATCAGCAGCAAGTTTCTCCAGGAGTATGCTGTGGAAAATGGTGTCAAAGCCTTTATTAAAGACTAGATGTATAACATCTAAAACTTCCTTCATCCACTAAGTGCATGATGATATCAGTCGCCAAGCTGAATTTCCATTCCGATATAGAAGTCTTAAAGTAGTGCACCCCAGACAGAATGGTCTACATTTTTTCATGAAGTAGATCTGTATTTTTTTAGTCTCTCTTCATAGAATTTTTAGCTTATAGATTGAAGTTGGTAGATATAGGATATGTATCTTCAATTTCTATGCTAAGTACCTCATTTCGATGATCATTTGGTTAGTAAATGTGTACTTAAGTTCTTGATGATGAGCAGAAACTTCTTAAGGTGATTGTGTGAGGAGTAGTGTACTTAAACTCCAATCTTAACATATTTTATTATATACTACTTCTTGAAAAACTGTGGACATTAATGTTTTCTGGAGTTCACAAATCTGTTCTTTTGCTACCCTCTGCTGGACGTAAGGGAGAAATCCATGGGAAAATGCTTGCATTTTGGTAATGGAAGGAAATGTTACATTTAATTTTTTTTTCTTTTAGTACAATGACACTTGCAGGAAGAATTATATCCAACAGACTGTTATAAAGAAAGGAATTTGCAAAAAGCCTGCCTGCCTCTCTTTTATTTTTTTTTTTTTTTCTTTAAGTATTAATCTGGTTTTATCTTTCAGTGGTTACTCTGATCATGGTCAAAAAGAGGATATTCCTAGCTTTCAGAGTGAGAAATTAATAGAAAGAATAATGGCAAGTTTCTGTGGACTTTTCAGTTGAAAGATAGCTGTTGCTGCACTGTCTAACCTACTAGCTTTCCAGTTTGCAGTGATACAATATGCTGTATCAATTTGGAGTGCTGCTGAAGTAGAAAACACACTGTGCCAGAAAAATTGAGATTGAGAACCTCAGATGTCATTCTGCCTCTTTAGCTTGAGAATTCAGTAACCATTTAAATTACTGGCATATTGCAATTGAACTCATCAAGATAATACTATTTATGATAATCAATTTTCCAGAACCAGTGTCTTTTGTTTTAACCTTTAGCTCAATTGCTAATGAGGATTCCTGGGAAATACTTGAAAAACACAATACAAGAAAACTTATCATATAAAAATAATGGGTGGGAAACTATAAAAAAGATGGGTGGGAAACTAGTTTTTCAATGACAATGTGGAGTTTACCACAAGAAACAAAATTATTAGTTTTCACATTTCAACTCTTTGCCTCGTTCCTATAAATGTAATGATTTTCTGTTATTTTTTAATGTGTTTGAGGCTGCCAACCCTTAGTAAGCTGAAGCTCAAAGTCTCTCAAATTTTTTAAGTCTTTCTTATGAGGCTTGAGAAATGTTCCATAGCTTGGTCTATTTAATTTCTGAGGCTGAGTGTATTGTCATATTTCTGAGATTTCTAGTTTCCATTTAAAGACTATTCCCTTAGCTTTCACATTGCCTTTTCTACTTCCGTTGACTCCACTATGTACATTGACATGCGGTGCTAAACATGTATGCTTGTATTAGCTTGGTAATGCTACTGTGATGCAAAGAGGACTGGGGAATGGTTAATATCTGTATTTGTTTGAAGTATATGTGTGTGCAATACTTGGAGGCTGTGGGCTTATTTTTCACTCTCTCTGTGTTAGTGAGACATGAAATTTAGATTGCATCTGAAAACAGCTTACTCCTACTTGATCTTCTGCTTTCTAGAGTCTCCACAACTGGCATCCAGGAATTCTAGATGCTGTGACTGTCATATATTAGTTAGTACATGCTTAGTAGGTAGTATACCTATGTATATATAAGTGTATATATCCAAAGTGGTTAAGTGGATATATATGTATCCACTATATAAGTAAGCGGATATATATGTATATATCCAAAGTGGTGTACTTTCTCTAGACAAAAATATATAGTACCATATGCTTAGAGGAATCTAAGCATTGCAGGTTTTGTAATGGGAACTCTCTGATGGCTCCAAAATTATATTTCTTGAGTGAAAAGCTCACTGACATAATGATTTCTGCAAGGCATTTGTCAGTGTTCCATACATCCTTGTCCCATACAACGTCCTTGTCTCTAAAATGGCGAGACATGGATTTGATGACTGCAGCACTTGGTACATAAGGAATTGGCTGGATAACCCTCAAAGGGTTATGGTCGATGGCTTGATGCTCTCCAAGTGGAGACCAGTCGTCAACCAGGGATTGATATTGGGACCAGTGCTTTTTAACATCTTTGTCAGTGACGTGGACAGTGGGATCAGTGGGATCACAGCAAGTTTGCTGACAACATCGAGCTGTGTGGGGCAGTTGACACACTGTAAAGCAGGGATGCCATTCAGGGGGATCTTGACAGGCTTGAGAGGTGTGTCTGTGCAAACCTTTTGAAGTTCAGTAAGGCCAAGTACAGGGTACTGCACCTCCACAGGGAAATCCCAAGTACATATACAGACTGAGCAGAGAATAGAGTGAGAACTCTGTGGGGAAAGACCTGGGGAATACTGATGGGGATGAGAGGCTTGTCAGGACCCAGCAATGTGCACTCACAGCTCAGAGACCCATCTGCATTTCTGGGCTGCATCCAAAGCAGCGTGGCCAGCATTGTGAAGGAGGGGATTCCGCCCCTCTGCTCTGCTCTGCTGAGACTGCACCTGGAGTGCTGCATGCAGCACTAGGTTCTCAACATAAGAAGCACATGCACCTGTTGGAGTGAGTCCATAGGAGGGAGAGCCACAAAGATGATCAGGAGACTGGAGCACCT